TTATGTTCATGCTCCTAACACGCTTGCACTTGATGGTTCTTCACCGCTTGCAGTTGTGACAGTTTTACGGTGGGAATTCGAAATTATAATCCTCCACGGTCACTTGGATTATTATCAAATCGGACGTATATGTTCCGTTCTTTTTGCTCTCCTCATTAGCAAATAGGCTAAGGCATTAACTTCAGGTGCGAATGAATATAGTGCTTTTCCGTGGACGATACCTTTAAGGTTCAAAATTGTGTGTCCCACATGAATGTATCGTTGAGCACGAGTCAACTATGACTATGGAGAGTGGAAAGCTAGATCGTAGATAACCTGTAGGGATGTAGGGGTTGCAATGGAATAGTAATTATTGAGATCTGTTTCAGAAGACTTCGGAGCATTTGGAACTATTGGATGGAATTCTCGATAAAATCCTCGATGAAAAATGGAAAGCTTTTGGAAAGCAGCAGTGAGCATTTCTCATTTCTCAATTTTTTACAATTTAGGCTCAATCTCTAGAGAAGAAGTAATATTTTCAGTTGGTTCCGTTCACTGGTTGCGTTCACGTTCTACTATATCATCTTCACAGCTGCATACATGCTGCGGCCATTCTCAGCTACAACTGAGGTACTAAATTCCTTCAATATTACAGGATCGGCCGTCTACTAGCGCCATTTGAATTAATCACTGAATGTTCCAAAATTCAAAACCTTTTTTTTCCACGATTTTTCTTCAACGAAAGATCACTATTCAGTAGTAAAATCAAACCATACTCTGGGAATGCTACATAGACTGGCGGGAACGGTTCACCAACGAGAACGCCGATGTGACTCCTTGCTTCAAGCAAAAGTCCAGCAGGGTTTCTTACCTTCGACACTAATGGTGTGGAACGATGCGCTAGCCCTAGTCAAGAACATAAGACTGAACAAAAAACTCACCTTGGAAAGCCGCTAGAAAGGGAGCTGAACGGCTTCGAAGTGGGCGTGGTTGCTCAGTCGGCTGCCCCTCGGCCGACTTCCAACCACGCCCACTTCGAAGCCGTTCAGCTCCCTTTCCAGCGGTGAGTTTTTTGTTCAATCACACTTCTTATGCTCTTGACTAGGGCTAGCGCATCGTTCCACACCATACCGGAACTGTTGCTTTAAGTCCAGCAAAGATGCTCCACTGGACAAAGTACAAGAGAGAAGGGAGCGTCAAACCAGGGCCAACCATCATGTTCGCTCTTTTCAAAAATTTTGGGACTCTCTCACCACCATCAGCCTCAGAGGGCTCCCCTGATACGAGCCCCCTCCCCCTTTCTCAACCACCATCCTCATCCACCGTCATGGTTGCTTCTATAGTATTTGATTCTGAGACCAGCTGACATAGCCCAACTCCGCACACTCGTCCACATTCTCCTCCAAAAAAAACATCGAGTGGGGGATGGTATTATGAAGCGGCAAATTCACCATTTCTGCAAAATTTATCGCTACTTTCATAAAACGTTCACAATTTCACCAAAATTCGCCAAAGGCTCAGCACCTTTTGACAAACCTCCCGTTCCACCAAACACTCCCATTGTAAACCTTCGGCTCAAACCACCAAATGAGCGACCTCCTCGCTTCAAATAGGCGAACGACGGTTGACCTGGTCTCAAACCTAATGGATATATGGTCGTCATTTACTAACTTTAACTAACCTATGTAAAAACTCGCGGGGTCCCATAATTCAATGCAAGTTGTTTTTTTAGCTCTCTCTCTGCCACTTCTTGGCCAGCAGTACACCTTGACAGCCGACAAGATGACAACGACTGCAGTATGCTTGGAAGCGGGCCACGATCGAACTTATACTTTCAAAGTTTCTGGCGTCGTTTGATTCGCCTACACAACGACTCACGCGGCAGGGTAAGCGGCAGGGCAATGCGGCCACACTGGAAGATGGGCATATTCGTCAAAAAGGTTATGATTTCCGACATACTACGCGGCATCCCCGACCGACCGCTGCGGTATCTTTCCGCCTTTCTTTTTGTGACCCTCTAGCTTCCATTTTTCCCCTGTCAACAGGATCTGGTACACTATGTCTTGTGCTAACTGAAACTCACTTATTTTTGAAAAAGAATTCCTCATCAACCAAAAAGATGGGCTCTTCGCCAGGACCGATAGAACAAAGCAGTGAACTCACATTGGGAAAATCCTACCAGAAAAATGGAGTAGATCAAGAAAAATCTGGTAAGATCCGTTGCGATAATCGTATAGAACCATGAGTACAAAAGGACCGATGAATGGTACAGCCCTTAAACACAAAATAATAGAAAAGTTGATAAACGACATGGATAGACCACTAGCGCTGGACAACCCGTGCTGAATCCGGCACGCATTCATGCACCATTCGAAGGTTAGTGAGCAAGTGAATGCAGATGTGGCGCTTAAGTACAATGACTTGGAGGGGCGAGTCAGCCGCTGTACAAGCAGCCTTTTTATCCTCCAAAAACATGTCTCCGCTATACATTAACAACGGATCGAATGAAGCAGTTTGGTGAACCCTGAGCACATCCACGCACGTGACACACTCACTCTCTGATCCGCTGGCCATCGAGCCGCTGAAGCAGGCGTCATTTGCAATACACCTCACTGCACTTTTCCAACATGCACTACTCAGTGAATCCACGCCACGTAATTTCGAATTTTTCGTATAGCCAGTAGTAAAGGTAGTGAAGCGTCGTGAGAACAACGGCGATAGCAGCGATGAAGTTGTCGGCGGCCAGAAACGCGTCATGAAGGTGGCAAGAAAATCGAATAGGAATTTCGCACAGAACCAATATGAACGGACACTTTGTAGAGGAGTTTGGCTGGAAACGCCCTCTGAAATAAAGATGGTCCTTTTACTATGATGAGCCTTTCATTAAAATAATTTGCTGAAAATAAAGACGATTCGGTGGACTGGAATTGCCGCTCGTTGATGTGGATCTCTTATTTCAAACAATGAAAAACCATTATTTTGGGATCTTTTGCCTTTGGGTTCTCTAACGCTAAAGATAAGAGCTTCTCCCGTAGAAGGTTAATGTTGCGCCTAATTTGCTTTTCAAGGTAACGATTGACTTCATGAGTCGGAAAACAAATAAAAATCATGTTTAGATTGGTTGATATCGAGCCATCAGCAGGAAATGATTCAATTATGTCAGAAAATCTCTATGAATTCTTCCCGCGGAAGGATTACTGACCAGTACAGAAAACCATTTGGCTCTGCCGATTCGTCGGATATCACGGACGTCGAGAAGAATCTGAAAGATGACCAGCACGATGACGGTCACTTCACAAGCGAGTCGCAGCTGAAAAGTTGTACTGATTTGTTTTTTCAGTCGAGTGCATAAATATGTAGATACAACATATGCACTAAATAGTCCAAATGCTCTCACCCAGCCTTCGTCCCAATTCCATCGCCAATATTGTAGCAAATGGCATTTGGCATCTTCCTCATCTGAATGCATAAAACTCAATTTTCCTTCTCACTAAATTTCAGGCTAACTACTCCTATTCGCTGATAGCCGAGAATTTGAAATTAATTAACTAAAATCCGCAATGAGAAAATTTCGCGACAGCAAGACACGGGAACTGGAGCTCAGTCATAACATGGCAAAAGCTAAATATCCCTCTAGTGAGGAAAGCAAACGAACCATCAGCTATCAAATATAAGTCATTCCTTTCGCAGTTGTTTTAGTGCATTGTAAAAGCTTACGCTAAAATGAGGACGCTGACGATCAAGCCATTCATATCATATGTGGACTATTGCTTAACAACAAACCATCCATGGTCCTTATGAAGCGAGGATCACGATAAGGTCTGAATGCGGCTTGGAAATACAAGCACCTGTGCAAGTAGTAACGAGAGGCCAAACAAAGCAAGATGTGGTCGTTTAGCGGCTAAAAATGCGCTAATTGCAGCGCAGTTGGCTTGCAAATCCTTTCTGTGCTTCTCCAGCAAGTACCGCTCAGTCACGGCACTGTCGTGTCTGAACTGTGCAAGTGTATTTCATTCCAGGGCGGAAGTGGTGTAGTGGCAAGTGGCACCGCTTACCACGCGAGCGGTCGAGGGGATCAAATCCTGGGTCGTGAGTCGCCCGGGCCAACCAAGCCTTCCATCTCCGGGTCGGTTAATTGGTACCAGACTTGTCTGGGAGGATAAAAACACTGACTTGTACATCGGCTGGCCCCCGCAAGTCATTGTATAGGCCACATCGCATTCAAACGCCACTACGAATGTACAAATGGAAGTAGCGTGCCGCATCCCAAAAAGGGATTGATCAACGGCAAATGCTTTATCCTTTTTTATCCTTTTCGAATCCCGTATACTTCTAACTTGTGTGGAATACGTTATCAATCAAAGCGTGGTGCTTGTTGGCAGGACGGTGACTGTCGGTTTACAAGTGCAAACTACCCATTATAGTTGAATGCCTGCTTTCTCGTCGTTCCAAGGCGAACGGGCAAAGAAAAGGTCCCATTTTGCGTGTTCTTGTCATTTTTTTGATTTCCAGGCCGCCCCACCGCCTCATTCAGCATTCCAACTTCCAATGTATGTCCAATCCGATCTTATTGTAATCATTCGCTTTGAAGCCACAACACCAGAAGAGGTATCGTAGTAGCACGAACGTCCCGTTTTTGCGACTCGAAATTGTGTGGCAAAGGCGCTAGGGCCTTACGAAGTCAGCACATGGCGACTAATCTTAGCATTTGGACAGGGTAGCGCACATCCCATGATGCGCAGCGTGGTTTGCGAAGTAGGGCTAATTCAAATATGCGAGGTTACTTAAGCCGTAGAGCAAGCAACCAGAAAACTCGTGCCCCCGCCCCTTTCTTATTTCAAGGAGCAATGGAGCAGTCAGTTCAGGCGTCCAAAATTTAATTGTCGACCACTGCTACCTCACCAATTCGATCTGGAGATATGGTTCAGAGAGAGAGAGAGAAAGAGAGGTTGCTCAGTGGATATCGAGTGTCCATCTCGGCTATCACCTCAATTACGCTGCGTCCAGCTTCAACAAGTCACCGCCACATCTCGCCTCCACACTTTTTCAAAAAATTTTGCGACCACTTTCGAACCCGGCTGCGACCTTGCCCACGACAACCATCAGTTCTAAGAATGCCCCCAGTACGATCCCCCTTACCCCTTCCTCGGCCACCACCTACACCATCATTATGTCAGTCGCACATCCAAGCTCCGCCCACTTTCTCGTCCAAAACGGCCCGGGGAATTTAAACTGATAGCATGAAGGATAAAGGATGAAAGCATTTGCCGTTGATCAATCCCTTTTGGGATGCGGCACGCATTCTACTTCCATTTGTACATTCGCAGTGGCATTTGAATGCGATGTGGCCTATACAATGACTTGCGGGGGCCAGCCGATGTACAAGTCAGTGTTTTTATCCTCCCAGACAAGTCTGGTACCAATTAACCGACCCCGGAGGGATGGAAGGCTTGGTTGGCCCGGGCGACTCACGACCCAGGATTTGATCCCCGGACCGCTCGCGTGGTAAGCGCGCCACTTGTCACTACACCACTTCCGCCCTAAGTGATAGCATTAGTGGTGAGTATCACCAATTTCACATGCTAAATCGCACAGCTCCTTCATAGAAGTTCACCATATTCTTACAAAAAAAACTCCGTATCCAGAACAACCCTTTACGGAGCCGTCGCAACTCTCATTTCCACTATAACGTGCACCATACGCCAAGAAATGCGCTACTCCCTCCGGCTTCCCAAGTCACCAAATTGGAGCCCAACTCGTTCGAGTGGTGCCAACGGACGGTTGACCCTGGCCCCAACCTCGCCGCAACGTGTGCTCGTGCCTCTCTGAGCGCTTCAATGTCATATACAAGATTCGCGTCCTCGAAGAAACCCAGACTGCTACCTTTTTCAGAAATGATGAGTTAACTTGAAAAGCATCCACTGTTCACTAGTCCTTTTTGGGATGCGCCGCGCACTCTAAGTCTGACTCCGAGTCACTATGCATCACAATTTGTATCCATGATACTTGCAAGGCTAAGCAGCATTGTACGTAAGTCACGTTTCACCTCCTACCAAGGAGAGTCTTCAGGCAAGGGCTTTCATTGAAACGTTTAGTTACCCTAAAATCCCATAGATAAGAGCGGTTTAATTTACCGGTGAAAAATGAATTGGAATGAAATTGAAATTGAATGCAGTCACCCCTCTAACTTGATGGATGGATAAATAAAAATCGGAGAAGAAGTTTAGAAGAAGCTCCGTCCCTCAACTCTAAACCCCGCCCACTTAATAAACAATTCATATAGAAAAATAGCGATTTTAACGGAATTTCTGCCGGAATCTCTCTAGAAATGCCGGAATTTGATCTCTGGATAGAACTTGAAGAGCCCATTCGATCAGTAAAATTCCATAGATAAGAGCGGTTTAATTTACCGGTAAAAAATGATTTTGAAAAAATATTTTTATTTTTATTTTATTTTTGAAAAAATATCTATGGACCGCTCTTATCTATGGGATTTTAGGGTATATGTTAGTAGACGCATGTAGAAAACCGACGAAGTTTCATTTCGTAGCAGTACCAAAAAGAAGCATAAGGTACTGTTAAGGTTCGATCCCCCGTGGCGACTAAATTTTGCATTTGGGTTGGCGCCTACGGTTTGGTGCCAAATCGCGCTAAATATCAAAATCAGATGTCAAATTCATCGTCAGGACCATTTTGAAGCCAACAAGTGGCCGCCAACCTTGATTGCAAAATTTAGTCGCCGCGGGGGATTGAACCATCAAGAGTATTATTCACCACTTTTTTGGTACTACTAAAACCGTTCAGCGAAAACGAAACATGGTTTTGTGGTCCATACATGCGTCCCTACAACATGTACTAAACCGTTTCCAAAAAGCGCACCTTGCCCTGAAAGACCTCCCTTGTAAGACAA